TTCCATTCTTTATTTCATTTATCTCTAATTTTATACTGTATCTATTTCTGCTCTGTGTTTGGTTTGCTCTTCCTTCCTAGTTTCTTAAGGTGGAAAGGTAGGTTATTAATTTGAGATATTTTGTAACATAAATTTCCCTCTAAGCTCTCTATTTAAACTTAGAACAATACTTGAACAATACTATAAATTTAGTATTGTGTTAGTCAGCTTCTTGTCACTRTGACTAACAAGAACAACTTAGAGGAGGKAACATTGTTTTGTTTCAGTTTCAGAGGTTAAGTCCATGTTCATCCAACTTCATAGTTCTGAATGCAAGGTGAGGCAGATATCATGGCAGAAGGACATGGCAGAGGAAAATTGCTCAGCTCATGACAGCTAGAAGCAGAAAGAGCTTGAAGGCAAGGAGCCAGGGATAATAGTTAGCAAGGGCACATCTCTGCTGAACTGCTTCCTCCAGCCATGCCCTACCTGCCATTGATTCACTCAAATTATTAATGCATCAGATGGATTAATCCACTGGTTGAGTTATAGTTCCCATAATCTAATCATTCCACTTCTGAACATTCTTGCATTATCTTATGAATGAGTTTTCAAAGGCACACCTCATATTTAGATATAAAAAGTATGTTGTGATTTTGTTTTCATTAATCCCAACGTGTTTTCTRATTTTCTCATGATTTCTTCTTTGACTCATTGATTATTTAAGAGTGTATTACTTATTATACACAAATTTGTCAATTTTCCAATCTTCCTTCTGCTATTGATTCCTAATTTCCGTGAACTGTGGTGAGAGAACATACTTTATATGAATTTAATTTAATACTTTTAAATTTATTGATTTTTTTTAACCCTAATATATGGTCTGTGCTGGAGAATATTCTATGTGCATTTGAGCAGAATGCATAATTTGATGTTGTTAGGTAGAGTGTTCTATAATGTCTGTTGCATCTAGTGGTTTATAGAGTTGTTTACATCTTCAGTTTCCTTGTTGAATTTTGGTTGTTTACCATCATTGAAAGTAGGTTAGTGAATTCTTCAACTACTTTGTTGGTTGAATTATCTGGTTCTTCTTTCAATTCTGTCAGTTTTTGCTTTTTGTATTTTGGTGCTCTATTGGTAGGTACTTATATGTTTATAATTATTATTTCTTCTTAATGTAGTGATCCTTTTATCATTTTAAAATGTCTCTCTTATCTTCAGTAATAGTTTTTGCCTGAAATCTGTTTTGTCTGATATTAGAATAACCATTCCATCTCTCTTTTGGTTACTATTTCCATGGTATATATTTTCCTATTCTTTTACTTTCAGTCTATTTGTGTCTTATTTAAGTCTAAAGTATATATTGTGGACACTAAGTAGTTGGATCATGTTGTTTTATCTGTGATGCCCATCTCTATCTTTTGATTGGTATTATAATCTATTTACATTTAATGTAATTCCTGAAGGTAGGATTTKTATCTACCAGTTTGCTCTTTGTTTTCTATATGCCTTATGACTTTTGTTTCTCACTTTCTCCATTTCTGTCTTATTTTGTGTTAAATGAAAGTTTTCTAGAGTGCCATTTTAATTACCTTTTATATATTTGTCKTCATTGTTAATTTCMAAGTAGTGAACCTATTAATTAGAACTGACATCTTAATTTTTAACAACTTAGTTTGGATTAATACCAAATAAATTTCAATCGTATATAAAAACTTTTCTCCTATATAGTGCCATTYCCTCTCCYCTCCTTTGTACTATTATCATACAAATTCAATGTTTATACATTGTATGTGCATCAACACAGATTGATAGTTATTGCTTTATTCTTTATGAATTTTAAATCAGATAGGAGAAAAAAATTACAAATGAAGCATGGATTTTGCTGGCTTTTATGTTTACCTATGCCATGGCTTTTACAGATACTCTGYTTCTTCATGTGGATTCACTTACAGTCCTTTCATGTCAGCTTAAAGAACTCTSTTTAGTATTTCTTCATGGGCATTTCTGATAGTGCTCAATTCTTTTCATTTTTGTTTTACTTTTCGTTTCTGAAGGATAATTTTCCTGCATATAGAATTCTTGATTTACAATGTTTTGAACATCATCCCACTCTCTTCTGGACTTTATGGTTTCTCATAAGAAATAAGGTGTTAATCTAGTAAAGATCCTTGTACATGATAAGTTGTTTTTTCTTCCTGATTTCTTCCTGCTCAATCTTTGGCTTTTAACAGTTTCATTATTATGTGTCTGAGTTGGGATCTCTTTGAGTTTATTCTTTTCATATTTTGTTAAACTTCCTAGATGTATAAATTTATTTTGTAAATCAAATTTGGGAAGTTTGGACAAATTATTTCTTCAAATATTATTTTTGCCTCATTCTCTCCTCCTTTCTGTARCTCCCATTATACTTAGGTTGGTATAATTGATCTCACAAATTGTATTTGTTTTTCTTTATTTTCGTCAGGCAGGATAATATCAATTGACTCATATTCAAGTGTGCTAATTCTTTCTTCTGCCTGCTCAAAACTTCTGTTGAAGTGAATTCTCGCTAGTGAATTTTTAATTTCAGTTATCATATTTTTCAACTCTAGAATTTTAGAAAATACTTTTGACCACTTTTCTGATATTCTGGTTTGTGAGGTATCATTTTCATACCTTATGTTTTTGGACATTATTTACTGTAGAGTTTTTGGACATATTTAAAACTACTGTTTATTTTTTTAATTTATTTTTTTTAGTTCTCGGCGGACACAACATCTTTGTTTGTATGTGGTGCTGAGGATCTAACCCGGGCCGCACGCATGCCAGGCGAGCGCGCTACTGCTGAGCCACATCCCCAGCCCCAAAACTACTGTTTTTAAAGTCTTTATCAGATAAGTTCAATGTTTGGGCTTCCCAAAATGCCAGTTTCTAGTGACTGCTTCTTCCTAYTTCCCTTATGAGCCAATCTCCCTCCCCTCCTTTTTTTCTAATTGTGGTGCTTGGAGATCAAACCCAAGGCCTCATGCATGCTAACCATATGCTGTACCACTGAACTACATTCTCAAGCCCTGGACCATACTTTCTTATATCTTTACTTATCTTGATCTTTCATGTCAAAAACTCAGCATTTTAAATAATATAGTGTTGCAACTCTGGGAATTAGATTTTCCCCTTCCCCAAGATTTGCCATTATTTTTGTTGTTGCTGTTGTTTTTTATTGACTTTCCTAAGCTAATTCTGTAATTTGTGTTTTTTGTCATAAGTGGCCCCTGAAGTCTCTGATTAGCTTAGTGTTCAGGTAATAGTTGGACAGAAATGTCCTTCAATACCTGGAACCATTGTTAAGTCTCCAAGTTTCTGGCAACAGACTGTGTGTGTTTGTTAGGGCTCATCTTTGATTCTACTTTAGCCTTTCATTTTGTGTTTGTGTGGAGCTTTAAGATCAGCCTACAGATGACTATCAAATGGAATGATAGTTTTGAATAATAGAAATGCAAGCTATTATCACACTGTGGTCCTTTAACTGCCTTTATTCCTACACCAGATTATTTGCTCTTTGCAAGCACAGGTACTTATAAACATCTAACTTACGTAAAAACACCTAACTTATATGCCTTAGACCTTACAACCACGACCAAGGGGCTCATGTTAAAAAGAAAAAGAAAAGAACCTTGAGATTTTGGTGTCTCTGTGGTTTCATGAGGGAAAAAGCTTCCAAAAATCAGTGATATTTTGGGGTAGTGTTTCTTAAATTGAGATTCAAGGACTACCTGCCTCAGTACTCAGAATTATATAGGATATTTGTTAAACTTCAGGTTCCTGGTTCCATTTCAAATCTTTTGACTTAGATTATCTAAGGTAGAATCAGGGAATTTTCATTTTTAACACCTCAGATGATTCTTATGCACATTAATATCTGGGAAACTCCTTAGGGAAGATAATCCTGTAGGTGTGTTCACAGGAAGGACTGACTAGCTTATGATATGAACCATGCTTAAATATTAATCTCCTCCTTTTGATGTCTGATTTTCTTTTTTAAATTTCACTTTACTTTTATGCTTCCTCAAATTCCACCAATTAGAGATTTATTTGCATCTATGAGGACACTTCTGAACTACTGTCAGGGTTAAAGGACTAACATTTACTCAAACCTTTATAAAAATTAGTTTAGTGAGATTGTGTTTATCCAAACAACTGGCCAAAATAACTTACAATGAAATAAGGAAGTTTCAATTGTTCTTTAATTTTAAGAGAAGATAGGTACTTTTCATGAGATTCAGAAGCATTTAGAAGAATAGGACTGTGTTCATTTATGCAGTAAAAGCAGAGGAGAGAATACAAGATCAACCAGTGAGTGCCCTTGCCCATATCAAAATGTCGTGCCTAGAGCTAGCCATGCAACCAGACGAAGCAGGAAAAATAATTGTTTTCCTTTTCCTTTCCACTTTCAGTATTACCCTTTCACTCAAGATCCATAACTCAAGCCAATAACATTTGTATTGAAGAATGACTTTAGCTGAGTGAGGGTTACATGGGCTTTTGGCTGACGATAGAGTCACCACATGTAGAAGTTGTCTTAATGGAAAAATGCTTTCTGATTTCCAAATTACACACTTCCTAATGAACTTTTCTATATAACCTATTTGAAAGTTTGAGATTGGGTCAAATTCAGACATGTAATTTATGTGTTAATTTAAAATTCTGGAACTGATTATTCCTGGCCATTCGTAAACTTTTAGGCCGTTTCTTTTTGGGTAGTTTAATGTTTAGGTCCTACAAACTTGGAATGGAAAACCATTTCGGGTAATACATAGATCCTTGTAAAATTTAATACTTTAAAAAATGAAACATGAGTTAAGAATTATTCCATGGTTTAGGTTTTTACTGTTCTGACATGCCTCTGTTAATGAGAATCATCAAGATTCCTATCCCCTCTTCCATTCAACCAAGTTTAGGATAAATTATTCTGCCTTAGGTCTCCAGAATTCTATTACAAATGAATAGACTAGTAAATCGCATTTCTTTTTTCCTTCAAGGTATTGCACAGCGGTGTACAGCTATCAAGTACCACTTTTCTCAGCCAATCCGCTTACGAAACATTCCTTTCAATTTAACCAAGACAATACAGCAAGATGAATGGCACCTGCTTCGTAAGTATTTCTGGGAAAGAGAGAAGAATTGGTGTCTTTCTGAACAAAATCCTTTCTCCTTCCCCACACACCTCTCAGATTTGGACTGAAATATAGTATTTATCCCACATGTGCCTTTGGACCTCATGGGATTTGGTCAGAGGCTCTGAGCATCTTTTCACTATGCTGTAGGCTCGGCTTGTTTATAAGCCAGATGTGTGAAAATCAAGTAGGAGACTCTGTGAAACAGTGTAGCCTGTGCCTCTCTGTTTTGGTGGCATCTGTATATACCAGATGACTGAATATTTTCTTAACCAAATCATAGGGTATAAGGACCTGCCTTTCCACTTGTCTAACAAACCAAGAAGATGATACTTTCTACGCTTTTATATTTGCTTTGTTTATACAATATGTATTTTAGCTACTGTGTTTATCTCAAACCTTTGTATTTCTGCTAAAATATCTTTATGAATGTATGTCATAATTTTCTCAGTGGGTTTCTGTTACCTCTGTATCTCAATGGAAGGAAAAGCTGTTTTTCACTGTTGGGGAAATGTGAAACTCTGCAAAGGACCATGCAATGTGAAACTAAAGAGGGCTGATATTTTTGTGGAAATTATTGACTCAAACTGTCTGGTGATAGATAGCTCCTGAAAACAAAACATTACATTGAATTCTTTTCAATGTGTTCCCAAATTAGAGGTTGACATTGTCATTTTTTCTGGTGAAATAAGCAACAAAGGACTGCAACTGCTTTGGTAGTGAGAGCCACTGCAGAAGCCCAAGCAGGGTCTCATTCTGTATGTAAACAGCTCTGCAGAGCTAAAGACCCTTGGATCTCAAACATATATGTGTTAGCTTTTCGTTGCTGTGACAAATAACTGAGAAAAACAACTTGGAGAGGAAAGATTTATTTTGGCTCACGGTTTCAGATGTTTCAGTCCATGGTCGACTGGCTCCAAGGCAGAAATATCAGGGCAAAAGGGCATAGCAAAGGAAAGTTKCTCTGCTTATGGCAGTCAGGAAGCAGAGCAAGGGGAAGGAGCCAAGGATATGATAGAGTCCCCAAGGGCATATCCCTGAGTGACCTACTTCCTCAGTCCATGCCCCACCTGCCTATAGTTTGTAACACCTCCTGTTAGTACATTCAGCTATCAATGGATTAATTCACTGATGAGGTCAGAGTACTTATGATTCAGTCACTCCCTCAAAGCTCCACCTTTGAACATCACTGCATTGGGACCAAGCCTTCAACACATGAGCTTTGGGGGATGTTCCAGATCCCAATTAGAGCAACATACATGGAAACTCTAATCGCCACATTATATTATTGGTATAATACATAATATTGTGAATGCAAACTTTAAAACTTGGAAAAAAAATCTCTGGATAAATTGTGACTTATTTCTCAATAATATGGCTTCTTGAAAGTTCTTTTTTGCTGGCAAATTTTAGCTACCACTTCTTAATAGATCCAAGTCAGAGTCATACCTAAGTGTTATTAATTCTTTATGAGCATGTTTGGAGTTCTTCATATTAATTATCTGTCCATATGAGCCTCATGGTTACAGGTCAGAAAAGATCATTAGTGGAACCTGAAAAAGAACCTTATCTCTTCACTGTGAACCCAATTGTGGCCCAACAAGGCAATATTTTACCGCTCTTTTAATTTGGGGGGAGGTTCTCATAGAAAGATGCTTTTTAACAATCTCATGCATGGCTCTTTCTAAGAAAATCACCTTGGTAATACCTGTACTACATTTGCTGGATAAGGTTAAYATGTCTGGTACTAATGCAAATCCCATGTGGATTATATCTGAACTTTGTGTCTTTTAATAGTCTTGGAAGATAGAACTATCACTCAAACCACAGGGAATTTGAGAGGTTGTAAGATAATAGTGGCTGAACTACTATCACAGTTCTCTAGTTCAGATATGAATCTCTCCAAACTCCTTTTATCCATAACATTTAACTCAGTATCTTTAAATTACCACTCCTCCTGATCCCTTGCTCTACCTCCTTTTCTAGGTAGACACCCTGTTTTTACTTGGATGCTCTGAGCTAGAAATGGAGAATCCCTTTTAAGAAGAAGGCTGGTCTGTGTGTGGCTAAGATGCTAAGAGCAAGGCTGGAGGCTACTCCATGTAGCACCTCTAAGATACCAGGAGCTGCAGACAGATAGMAAAGTGGCAGCTGCTCAGGCTGTTCCACATGAGCAGAGAAGCCCACACTTCCAACAGTGTGGTGTGCTGTGCATCTTGTCTTGGTCCCATATGCCCCTGAGTGTTCATGGTCCTTATTATTTTGCCCTCTGGTTGTCTAGCCCTAGGGCAGCAGATGTGTGGTTGGAATCTGTTATAAGAAGCATCATAACATTTAGCATTTAGATAGCAAAATTTTAAAGTTAGCTTTGTTAGGAAAACAAACTTAAAAGGAAGGAAGGAAATAGTATGAAAAAGTAAAATAGGCCAAAGGTGGACACTCTTGAGTGCTGTGTTAATTTAGTAATTGAGGGAACATGGGTCTGGATAGATGTCACCACTAAACCTGACTGTTGGGTATCCAGTGGAGACTTGACCCTTGGGAAGAGTTTCTCCTTCACCTGAATAAATGGGTGCTTGGCTTCTGGGACCTGTACCTTAGGAGAGAGGGTGTTTATGAGTAGATACCTCCTCTGTGCACTTTGGGCCATTATTTTATTCCCCACCATTGACTTCACTTTCTCAAATCCTTTTCTAAAATAGGCAGATGTAAATGAAATGTAAATGTAARTGAAAAATAGAGTAATCTTCACCCTTGACACTCAGACAAAACCTTATTTCACTGTAGTTCTCTGTTTAGGCTCTTCCACCAATGACAGATTCATTACAGCCACTAATTAACCTTCATTTGTATTGCTCTTTTAGGGCTAATAAAGGGAGTTCTCGACCCTGCCTCACTCTCAGTTTGCTAAGTCCCTTGTTCTCTGCTACTCTACTGACCTTGTGGTTGCCCTCTGGTGTGCTGTGTACTTGGATGGATTTCTCCGTGCACTTGGAGGGATAGACTCTGCCCCTCCGTTGGTTATACTGCATCTAGTCTCTGTGGACAGACACCTGGGAAGAGAATTCCCCAAACCATTTCCYTCCAGCCCAAAGCCTGTGTAACTGAGTAGTTGTCACATAGTATACAAAACTCTGTTCTCTCTTCATTTACTTTCCTGAGTTGTCTGATTTTGATTATCTCTGTTTTGAGATTAGACTTAAGAAGAATCACTGCTGGCTTCCTGGGCATGGCCGTAGCTGTCCTGCTGTGTGGCTGCATCGTGGCCACCGTCAGCTTCTTCTGGGAGGAAAGCCTGACCCAGCATGTGGCCGGACTCCTGTTCCTCATGACAGGTATGCTGCACACCTCAGGCTGCCTCTCCCAGCCAAGGTGAACGCTGTTCCTGTATGCAGCAAGCTTCACTTTGGTACATCTCCATTAGTTTTATTTTAATTTGTGAGAAGAGAAACCAGAAGGTCATTTGGCTTTGGAGGGAAGTACAGAATTTAAAGAAAACAAAATGCAGCTGTGAGTTCTGCATTGTGGCCTGTTAGCAGGTGARATGGAAGTGTCCTGGGTTCATTCTCCATGTGAGCCAGGTCTGGGTTTTTTTTTTTTTTTTTTTTCTGTCTCATGCTTTCGGACATGCACCAAAGCCTGGTCTGGACTCTTGGCAGAGGCGGGCCATGGCTTCTTAGGCTCCTCCAATGAGAGCAGAGGAGATAGAAAAGCATAGCTCATTCCTGGGCTGAAAGTCGGCTCAAGGTACATGCCTCAGAGCAGGGACCTTGGCATCGATATTGCAGACAAAGCAATATCATTTCCCCCCACAGATATTTTTTGAGTACTTACTATGTGTCAGACACTGTTGTGGGTACTAGAGATGTGATAAATAGCGTGAGAGCCTCTTTGTTTGTCTGTTTTGTGGGGACACATCAGCCACGGTTTATGATCCTGTTGAAAGCTATGAAGTAAATGGACAGGGTAGAACAGGGGCTTGGGAAGGCCTCACTGCGTGGTGATTTCTGAGTTAAACTGTGAGAAGCAGTCAGTGGTTGGGAGTGTGCTGCAGGCCCAGGAAGCTTAGCACCCCGCTCTAGGTAGGAATGTGCTTCTATGTTTTCAGCCTCAGAAAGAAAACCAGCGAGGCTGGAGAGGACCAAAGGAAAGGAGGGAAAGGTGGGTATCACACCAGGCAGGAGCCATAGGCAGTGGCCAGATCTCTAGAGCTTTCTTGGTCATGGTGGTGAGTTTGGATTTGAAGCTAAGGGTGATGGAAGCCATTAGAAGGATTTAAGCAGAGGAACTTGACTTAAAGCATGAGACTGGGAGGGGTATGTGTGGAGACATGGCCAGGGAATTTTTGATTAACAAGTGAAGGATATTTTTGTCTAAAAATGGTCTGGAGTACCATTGTGTTAGTTGATGGCTAACACAAGCTGAAGGTGGCGGCAGGGAAGAAGTCTTTCTTCCTACCCTTCATAAAAAATTACTGTGTTAATGATGAGTGAATGACAAATTAAGTTCCTCCAGGTGTACCCAGCATCGGAACTAATGCCACCTTAGATGGCCATGTTTAATAAGCTTATTTCCACTTCCCTGGAGAACTGTTACTCAGGTGACCATGACGGAGTTTTTTAGGACTTCTCACTATAACTGGTCATTTTCTAAGCCTGTCCTCCAGGGCTTACAGCATTTTCTGTCTGTCTGTCTATCTGTCACACACAGCCGGCAGATGGGTGATGCTTTGCTTTCTGGCTTGCTGGCCCTGGGCCCTTCCTTCAACTCCTATCTGCCTATTTTCTAGCATCCTGATAAACTATTCAGAAATCCCATGGGCCTTGCATAGTTCTGAGCAAAAACCCAAGTTAACTTTCCAGATTTTGGTGAATGCACAGTGGCACCAGGAACCTTACACAAGTTCCTGACATTTTGGAAGAGGATTTGAACTCTGAGGTCAGCCACTGGGTGCCTGCCCAAGGGATGTATTTAAAATCCAAACTGTAGAGTGAGCAGGACAGAGCAGCTTAGAAAAAGAGACCAGAGGATTCCTTTTAGTCTTTGCTGGGGCTTAGTGATCATTAAAAATTTCCCCCACTTTCCACCCCATTATCAGTGCCCCCCCTTTTCATTTAAGTATATCCAATAAGTGCAGATTCTCCCCCCTCYGCCAAAAGGCACCACATCACAATCCTTTACCAGGAAAAAGAGGCTCTCTAGACTTGACAAAAGCCTCATTGGGATTATTTTTTAAAGAACACTGTTAATATGCAATAGTACTTGAATAATTTAGGATGCTTTTAGCATATAAAGCAATTGTTAGCATTAAAATAAATCATGAGGCCATGAAACTCAGGCCCAGTGAGTGGGCTCTGGGAGGCCTGGGGAGGTTGGTCTAGTTTTAAGAAAAGGAAGGTGGATGTTTAGTGTTGATTGGGCACAGGAGAAAGCCTGGCATTTCCTGGGTTCTGAATTCGTCTGTGCCTTGCTGTGGGATTTAGAGAGGTTTGTCTTGTTATTAAAATAATGCCTTGAAATTTTCTTTATAAATAACTGAGGTAACTATGTTCTTCCACTGCTTGAGATAAATTGGCTGTAGAACCTTCACATGCAGTAACAGGGAATGAGAGCAAATAAGGGTTAAAAATTGATTTTAATTAAGCAGACTGTCTTCAGCCCTCCCACAGATTTTTGATGCTAATCTTAGCCTCTTCTAATGCACTGGCATCTTCATTCTCTGCCTGAACTTATTAGCCAAACCTTCAATGGAGAACATCAATGATGTGACAGTCTGAGCCTGTGAAAATAGAAACTATTGAACAGTCTTCCTCCTTTTGCCTTGTTTTAAGCAGACAGGTCTTGATTACCCGTATGAGGAGCAGCAATGCCATTACTCACATCTGGGAGCCAGGTTGCACCCCCTTTCTTTTTGCTGAGACCTGTGAGGGTTACTTGAGCAAGACAGGGCAGACCTCACATCCCCTAAGGGCCTTGAATTTAGACTTTTGATGTCACATGCTCTGAGGCTACACACTGACACAGAGGCACACTCAGAGGGTTGAGGCAATCAATTCTTCTGTAGTACTACTCTGAGTGTGCTGAGAATGGATATTTCCATCCACATTAAAGGATGCATTCTATGAGATCGCTGTAGTAATGCTATTTGTCATTATTATAATTTAAATTATAAATATCTTAAAGGGTTACTTTATTTAATGCTAACCTTTTAAAGTATAATTTTTATATTTCTGTTGTAAGTATTTTAAATATCCCTTAATACACTGGGAGTCTCAAAAATTGGAGCTTGGACCTCCCTTGATGGGGGTCTGCCTGACCACTGAATGCATTCTCCTTGACAGGCTGTGCCCTGAGTGGTCACTGCCGTTTTGAAAAAGCACACTCAGCATATAACATTCCCATCCTTGTAGCAGATAAAGAGGAGACAGTGCTTAGGAAGCACCATTCAAATGTCAGGGGCAGTTAACATCCACCCTGGGTTGCCCATTCCTTTGCTTTAATGCAGACAAATGAAAAGACTCTGCTGTAGTAGAGTGTGGTCTGTGTCTGTGTAGTAGGTGTATGAAATTATCTAGGCCATCCATCAATTAGAATCTGAAACTACAGGTCCACAGGGTTTTTTCTTTTTTTTAATCTGAAACCCTTGGGGCTAGGTTGTGTTTTGTAACTCAAGATCTTGAAAATTTTAGAAAGGTAAYATGGTACATGTATCCAGTATTATCTAACACTCTCAGCAAGGTCTGGGGTAGCATCTTGAAATGAAATACATTGACATTTCTACAGCAAAACTTATGAATATTCACACTAAGCAGGATCAATAAGGACAATAATAGATTGTGTTAGAGAAGTTCAGGCTTTACCACTGAAAGACTTGCTATAATCTTTCAGAAAAATATTGTTCTCCTCCTCCTCGTCCTTTACAGATTGTAGATCTGTTTTTATTTTTACTTACTATTTCCTTGTTTTTTAAAGTTTTGGTCTGTCTCTGTAATCCATGCCCAGTCATTTAGTTAAGACACTGTAGGCCTGACAGTTTGAGTAATCCATGTGAAAAATAACAGGAGGCATTTTTTGCTGGAAGGGCAAAAAGACCAGAATGATGGGCAGGTCATCATTTGGTGGGGAGAGGCAATCAATGTTTATGCCTTTGGGTGTTGTAGTTAGGTTATTTATCAAGCAAGCTAACCACTGTGAAGCGGCTTCTACTCCTTTCAACCTTTTAAGCACATCAAAGGAGGGAGGTTAAAAGAATGGGCCCAGTTGCCCTAATTACATCTTACCAGCTGGCCACAGGCACCAGGAAGATTTTAGGGTAGGGCATTAGGTTGATGATCTGGGAGAGTAGCATAAATTCACTGCTGTCCTGATCTGAAAATATCCCTTCTAGCCCTGCAATTGTGTAATATTGCATCTTCTAATTAAGAATATTGGCAGAAAAACTTTTAATATTTTATAAGAACAGTAGATGCATATAGGGCTTGTCAGGGAACAGTAATTATTCACTCTTTTGAAGATACTACCAGCAATAGCCAGGAGCAAGCGCAGGACTGGAGAACCTCTCTTTCCTGGGGCCACCAGCTAGCTGAAACAGTATCAGCTGTCAGGGGAGAAGAGGAAGGGGGAGGGTGAGAGAAGAATGAAGGAGAGGTGGCCTCGGTCCCCACGGATCTTCAAGATGGACCCTTAGATTCCGAAAGTTTTGCATGCCAGAGTTTCTTATTTGTCCTTTAGCATCCCCATTTACATCTCTTTCATTAATTAGATTGCTGTTGATGGCAATGCAGTATTACCGCAAATAACTTGCTACATAGGTAAGTCCTACTCGGGGTAATTTGGGATGGCCAGGCTCTTAAGTTGGTAGAAACTCACTGTATGGCAGAACTAAGTTTTGTTCAGCAGGTTTCCTTCACCCCATGTGCTCAGCTCTGTCAGGCATGTGTGGAAGTCAAAGAAGTCTCTCTTACCTATGGCTGAGAAGTAAGATGGAAAGTGGAGTGGAAGGAATACTTCAGTTCCTAACCACATGGGTGTCCAACAAAATATGGCTGAGACCGGCAAGAACTGGTTAAACTAAGTTACCTCTAACATAATCAGAAATATGGATGGGAACAATTGTTGACTAACTGATGAACCAACCCTTAAAATAGTACAGTCTTACTAAGACCAACAAAAGAGATTGAAATCTACATCATTCACCGGTTGTGTGTACATATTGTTATGGGTTGAATTTTATGTCTCCCAATTCTGTGTTAAAGCCTTAATCCCCAGAACCTCAGAATGTGACCTTATTTGAAAGTAGGGTTTTTAAAGAGAAAACTAAATTCAATTAGGTCGTTAGGGTAGGTCCCGACCAGGTGCAACTCCTGTCCTTAAAAAAGAAGAAATTTGGACACAGTTACAAAGGGGACACCATGTGAAGACACACACAGAAGATGGCCATCTACAAGGCAAGGAGAGAGACCTCAGAAGYAACCAGTCCTGCTGATGCACTGATCTCAGGTTCATAATCCTCTTAAGTCACCCAGTCTGTGGTGCTTTGCTATGGCAGCCCCAGCAAACTCATATACATGAATTTTGGAAGATGTGCTTATGGAACTTAAAATAGAATTCATGGTATATCAAAATTAACCTAAACTATCAATCCAGCTACAATAAGCATACTTTCATCATTTAAAACAATGTTTTTTTTTTCTTGGTGTCTTCGAATTTAGAAGGATTTTAAAAATTTGTTCTAATTAGTTATACATGACAGCAGAATACATTTTGACACATTGTGCACTAATGGAGCACAACTTCTCATTCTTCTGCCTGTACATGTTGTAGAGTCCTATTGGTTATGCAATCATACATGTATATAAGGTAATAACATCCGTCTCATTCCTCCATCCTTCCCACCCACACATCCCTTCCTTTCCCTCACTCCTCTCTGCCCCTCCAAAGTTCCTCCATTCTTCTCTAACCACCTTCCCCATTATGGATCAGAAAAAACATTCAGCCTTTGGTTGGTTTTTTTTTTTTTTTTTTTTTTTTTTAGAGGGGGGATTGGTTTGTTTTGCTTAGCATTATATTCTCCATACTACAGTGACACAGCCACGTCAATGTTTATAGCAACTCAATTCACAATAGCTAAACCATGGATCCAACCTAGATACCCTTCAACAGATGAATGGATATAGACAGATATTTTTTTAAAAAAAATAGTATCTTGATTGGGGCAAGCTTCTTTTACAAAAGCTTATTGGAAAAGTTGGAAACAATGCTTTGTTTCCTCTCAGTACATTTCCTTATAATAATCCCAAATAGCCCAGCCCATCCCACAAACAACAGCTCTGAGAGCTAGGTATTTGTAAATTTCCTTGAGATTTGAAGGTCCGAAAAGGAGAATCTTTTCTTGTTCATCTGTCCTTTGCTTTCATCTTACCCCAAACAGCTTCTCCTTGAAAGGAAAATAGATATTATGGAAGGGCAGCAGCCTGTGAGGGCATTTGTGGAGAGAAGGTAGGGAAGAAAGGGGATATATTTGTGGACCAATAGATCTGATTTCCACTCTTCGTTGAGTGAATCAAGGCAACAGGAAATAAAGTAAGTTTTCATCAAAGTTTGCTGAGTGTCTATTAAAAAGGACCCAAGTGGCCCCCCAAATATAATATTACACGTAAAATAAATACAAATCAGTAAAAGGAATAGGACAAGGGACAACCAGATTTGCAAAGTACATTAGCTTTCTGTCACTATGACAAAATAACCTGAGAAAATCAACTTAAAGGAGGAAGAGTTTGTTTTGGCTCATGGTTTCAGAAGTTTCCAACTATTGTTTGTTGGTCCTGGCTTTGGGCCTGAGATAAGACAGAGCCTCGTGGCAGAGAAAGCATGTGGAGCAAAGCTGCTTACCTCATGGTGGCAAAGAGAGAAGAAGGGGCTGGGGTCCTAATATCCCCTTCAGGGCAAGCTCCCAAAGACCACACCCGCAAAGACCTATTTCCTTCCACTAGGCACCACCTCCTAAAGGTTCCATGACCTCCTACTAGTGCCTCAAGCTGGGAACTGAGCCTTCAGCATKCGGCCTTTGGGGGATGTTTATGATCCAAACCATAACATGAAGCAAGATGGATCCAAGAGTAAAAGTAGAAGCCAAAASCATGCCAAGAAATCCCACGCTTTTACTTATGGGGGGCAACAGATTTAGTTTCAAGGAACTTCAGCTTTCTGGAAGCTTGAGCAAAGATTTTCTGTTAGTGACATCRTTCAGTGTTCACGGAGTGAGCACACACCAAGTGCCTAGGCAGAGCACAGCCATCCATAATATTGAAGACAGATAGAAATCTTTGCCCTGGCTAAGTCCTCAAAGTAGATTGTTTCCTATGTGGCCTTTTCTATTCAATATGAACCCTTGATGTAATAATAAAATTTATTCCATCAATAGCAATTTTGGGGAGCTGATAGGGGAAGGGAACTAATGAAAATTCCYTTTCAGTATAAAATTGAATAGAGTACATACCAAAGGAAAAATACACAGGGCACTTCATTTTTTATTTGGTTACATAAAACTGAGGGCTAGATTCACTAAGAAGTTTTAGAAAAATGTATTTTTCCACGTCGTCTATTTGGCTAGCAGAATTGTAGAAATTTGACATCATAAGTGCTTCAGTTACCAAGTCCCCCATTTTTTTTTTTCCCTAGATGAAGACACGGAGACTCAGAGAGGTTAGGTGTTTTCAGGGTCACACAATGAATAGTAGTAGAGCCAGGGAACAGAATACATTATTTCTTATATCCCAACTGCATGCATGCACACATCAAAGGATGCTTAAAAGTCTGTTTGAACTCAAAGCTATCAGAGGTCATAAAACCGTGGTATTTGTAAAAAGGAAAAAAAAAAAGAAAATGTTTGTTGTTAGGCATTCAGCTGTGTGTAGACAGCTAAATGCAAAATTGAGGGTTTTTTTTCCCTGAAAATAGGTCATTGTTCTATTATTATATTTTACCTGTTGCTACTCCGGAGATCAATTTTCCCCCACTAATGGCCTTGTTCTATTACTAGCATTCATTAAAAGGGACTTGTTATACATAACATTGTCTTTTTTATTTTTGGTGCCAGTAAAAATAAAAACATTCTCAGAGATGTCAGAATATTTGCTCTTCATAAGGTCTGGAGAAAGCAATGGAATATTTTTTTTTTTGAATAGGATATTCCTTTATGAAAGAATTATTTCCATCTAGTTCTTTCTTCTGGAGAACTCAAAGTGATGGGTCTGCTGTGAAAAAAAAAATGGAGTCAGAAGAAAAAAGATGAGATTTTGCTCTTTTAGAAAAATGAAATCACTTTAGAGTTCAAAAACAGAATTAGGCAAAGAGTAGAAAATATCAAATTAGATCAAGTATCCTTGTAAGTTAGAATATTTGTTTTTCTAAGTGCACATTTGGAAAAAAGATTCAGGCAATATATCCTTACATGATTTGAATAGAATTAGAGTTATAACACTTTTAAAAATGGCATTAAGTGATTTTTATTTCCTTCAAATTGCTACTTACTCTGAGTTTGTGTTTTTGTTTTTTCTTCTAGTGTTTTCCATCTCCAAAGCTATATATTAAAGGGAGGGATGGTGCTTCTTTTCAGTCCTAAAATCTGTTCGTTTCTAGTGCTGCCTGTATGCCTAAAGGTACCAAAGCAATTTCCCAGCAAGTAGGCCTCCATTGAACACAGGGATAAACCAGAATATGATGAAAAGATGTGTAGGACCCAGAACAGACCAACAGAACTGGAACTGATACTCGACTGGGTGTCAGTTTCTGTTTTCATTACTCATCTCTAATGTATTGGCTGCTTGTTCTGATCCCCTACTTGTCCAAAAAGAATGTTGGTTGTGTCCCTTGCGGTGGAGTAGAAGTGTCTACATCCTTGGAATATCACTTAAGCACCGAAAATCCTATGGCTTGGGCTTTTGAAGCATTTGTATTGGTCTGGATTTTACTTTCTTGAAGGACAGTTATACTTACATGTATTGAYATAAAAAAGTAAAATTTGGTGTGTGTCTACTTATGTCCCTTAAATTGCTTACAGTTTGAATGGTTGAAAGTATATGATCTCTTTATCCAAATTACTAGACTTAATTTATATTATTAAAAAGCATTCATTCTTCATTTAGGAAATTTGTTTGATGCCCTAGTATGTGCCCAAAATCTGTACCTTAAAAAAACAATCTGAGCTACTTGTAAGAATTTATTTGAAATATTACTATAGGAGGCATGATAAATTTTTATGATAATATTTATTGAGAAAGAAAGCAGACTGCGTGTAATGATTGCCACCATATAAAAAAATTCAAGTCAGGTATGGAGTAAAGGAACATGATAGTTATTTTGTGTTAGGTTTGAGAAAGAGTATTTCTTTTCCTTAAAAGTTGGGGGCTGGGCATATGGCTCAGTTGGTAGAGTAGTTGCCTCACATGCACAAGGTCCTGGGTTCAATCCCCAGCACCACAAACAAAAAAATAGAATTTTTATTAAATTGTTTGTTTGTTTGTTTGTTTAGTATGGGGGATTGAATCCAGGGGTGCTCAACCATTGAGCTACATYCTCAGCCCATTTTTTGTGTATTTCATTTAGAGACAGGGCCTCACCGAGTTGCTAAGCTGGCTTTGAGCTTGCATTTCTCCTGTTTMAGCCTCCCAAGCTGCTGGGATTACAGGCGTGCACCTTCACGCCTAGTTTATTGAATTGTTTTTAAGAATAAAAACCAAAATAAATTTAAACATGCATAATCATTCACACCAAGTAATTCTGAATCATTGAAGTTATCAGAAGTTTCCTGTCTATCTTTTTCACCTGGTATCTCTAGCCCCTAGTGTGGGTCTGGCACATAGAAGTTTTGTCCTAGTCTGTTGAATGAATTAATTCAAGTAAAAGAACAATAAATTGATCTTTATGAATTTGGAGTGGTTGCCTTATTGGTTGGTCCGATTTTCAGAAAGGACTGCCTGGTGTTGGCCTGGCTGCAGGGGCAGGCAAAGCCAGCCGTAACTGATGGTTCTGTTCTCTTTGTTTTATTTATAGGGATATTTTGCACCATTTCCCTCTGCACGTATGCTGCCAGTATCTCTTACGATTTGAACCGGCTCCCGAAGCTCATTTATAGCCTACCTGATGATGTGGAACACGGCTACAGCTGGTCTATCTTTTGTGCCTGGTGCAGTTTAGGTTTTATTGTGGCAGCTGGAGGTCTCTGCATCGCTTATCCGTTTATTAGCCGGACCAAGATTGTACATCTAAAGTCTGGCAGGGACTCAACGGTATGACTGTCTGCATTCAAGGCCCCTCCACGGTGTGGGCAACTCCTGGGGGAAGTGGAGCGGAGTTCACATCAGAATTCCAAGCACAAAAGCCGTCTTTTACATTCCAACCTGTTGCCTGCAACCCTTTCTGGATGACTGATATAAAATCATGCAAAACCTCCCAACCTTTCTAAGGACAAGACTACTGTGGATTCAAGTGCTTTAATGACTACTTATGCTTTGAGAAGGAGTAGGAGAAGAGGAACTGCATCGGAAAAAAAAAATTTGTATGATTTCCATTTATTTCAGAAAGTTTGTATATAACAATTACCTGAGAGTCATTTCTATTTGCAAAAGGATTCGTAACAAAGCAAGTATAATTTTCTTGTCACTGTACAATGCTTGTTAAATTTTAATGCAGCATCTTCAGAACTTGTTCGAATGGTGTCTTGTTGTGTCAGCACCTGATATTTGTGCATTATTTGTGGCTGTTCCTTGTCACAGGAGGATTCTTCTGTTGCCTTATTATTATTATTATTATTATTATTATTATTTAATTGAAGTCTCTTCTCTGTCTTTGTAATGGAATCGAAATCATAAGAAAAACAGATCAACCGTGTAAGAGCTAATCCGTGACACTATGCAGTATTGTTTGAAGTCCTATCTGTTGTTCAGCTTCCGTCTCTGGATTTCTGCATTAAATGACTGCCCCCTTGTTAATCTAGGTGTGTTTTTCTCTTTCAGCTGTGTCAACAAATTTCCTTAGCCACAGGACAGATGAGAACTCTGTTGTTTTAGTAAGACTCTTAGGAAGCCTAATTGCTTCATTTTAATTAGGTTGGCCATTATTATTTATCTTTTGTAGCAATCACACACTTGATATTGACGAAAGATTTTATTTTCGAACTTCTTTGTAAACCTTGCTGTAAGATTTAAAGTTCTCCCCTGCCTCCTTTACCATCTGCCTTGCATTTACCCAGTGATAAGGGTACCTTGTTCTTGGACCCCTTGGACCAGTGATTTTCAACTTTGGCTACCTGTTAGAATCACCTGGCAAAATTCTTCCAAGGGACCTAAGCTGGGCCCCAAGCTGGGCCCCACCTGAGACCAATTAACTCAAGGTCCACATCTGAGTCTAGGCTTGAATTAAAAAAAAAAATCCCATATACTGCTGATGTGCAGCTGGCACTGTTTGGGGCCAGAATCACACTTGCCTCCTTAGCTACCAAGTAGGTTAGCTAATGTACTTAGCTCCTACTACGTACCTGTAACTGGCCTATGCTTTTTTCCAGGTGTTATTTCACTCAGTCCTCTCAAAATATCTATGAAGTTGGTGCTCTTCCTGGAAGCTGAGGAGCAGACTTGGCAGTGTTTGCTTCATCTCCACCTCAGCCTTTTCCTATGTGTGGGCCCAGGACCAAAGCTAAAAACCTTCTATTGTGTTTTCTCATCTTTCAGTGGAGAAGTGAGCACTAGCTAGCTTCTAAGATTTTCCTTTTAACTCCAACATTTCCCCCTCTCTACACATGGTGTATGTATGGTAAAGTTGCTCTRTAAAATACAGGAAGATGTCTTATCCCGAATAAGATGCTGTTTTAGATCTTAATTTCGYAAAAGTTTACTCTCTCTTCTTTATAAAAGCTAATTTAGTACTCAGAGGAGGAAAGGGATAATTATCCCCAGGGAGAATACATTCTGATTTTCAAGTGACAATGTCCACATTTTGTCATGGAAGCTGCTGGAAGAGGCTGAAAAATGCCAGTGGCCACGCCAACTCTTGTCACGGTTCCAGGCACAGCTGAGGCTTGTGAGCACGTTCCTGACAATCTCTCAGGCCTGTTTAATAAACCGGTCCCTCTGGACGGGATCAGAGACATATAGACAGGGGCAATTATTTTCATTTATAACTTATGTGGAAAAATCCTCAAAGCGGGAAAGAGCKCTTTCTTTGAAGTTCTTTTTAAAGATCCCCTAGAAGATGTCAGGACTCTTGAACATTTATATTCCACCCACCAAAGCAGTGTCTGAGTGAGTAACTTTTGAAGTTTCAGGGAAGCTTCCTCCGGGGTTTGAGGTGAGAATGGAAGAAAAGCTTCGCAGTGGCAGAAGGTGGAAGGGTTCACACACCAGAAAGATGTGCCCGGAAGCCAGGGGAGTTCACTTAGGATTCAAACGTGTGCTGGCAAGAACTGAGCCTCCCTGCTTTCCAGCCCCAGCAAGCTCCGAGGAAGGAGCCATGTGTCTGGCCAAGGTTCCTCGCTTTCTATTTACTGTCATGGAAATGTGAGCAAACGTTGCCAGTGCCGGGCATTTGGTCCCCAGTCCTTGAGGTTCTCCTAGAGGGGTTTTCTTAATTGGCTTGTGAATGAAGATGTTGGAATGGTTGCACAGTACTGTGCGGGATGAATAATTTATCGAGAGCCTTTGTTTGTTCTTGTGTTCTCTCTGTCCCACTTCTAGCTGCATGCATGTAGCCAGACTGTATTCTGTGCCTTGGGGCTTTTTTGCTGGGCAGAAAGCAGAGGTGACTGAGCTCATTGAAGTGACTATGCAGTGARTCCAGGAGAGGAGGGAGGGCAGGAGGGGTGACTAGGCAGGTTAGAAGTGCTAAAGGGCTGAAAAGACAAAAGGATGGCSACCACAAGATTAGCGGAACAGTCCTGAAAGGTTCAGGGATAAYGGGGCCCTTGGTACAATAGCTCTCATATCCCACAAGCAGACTCGATGGTCAGGGRGGGGCCAAGCCTTGGAATGGGGGCTTCTCAGTAGTATCCAGTGGGAGCCTTAGAAAATTCAGGGACATGGTCACAAGTGTGTCCATGTGTCCCCGATAATGTTTGAGGGCAATTTCCTCCAATCCTGCAAATAAGGCTCTGGATTTTGAATGGATTTATAGAACATCTGAGATTGTATATTAAAAGTCATGCTCATCTKCCATATATAGATAGCATTTACAGAAACTGAGACTTTCCCTAAAACTTTGATGAGACAATCACAGACCACACATATGTTCCTTTCCTTTGAACAGCATGGTCTTTGATCTATTTGCAATGTTAAGACCATACTTGCTCACTCCCAGGGAACCCTACCTCTTCTTTTGACCCTTGAGAATCAAGATTTCCCACAGAGCATAATATCCCCCCATAAAGTGCATTATGTCTTTCACCAAATATTTATTGAGTGCTTAATGTGTGCCAAGSACTATTCTAGCCACATGGGAAACATCAGTGAAGCAAATTAGGCAAAGGTTCTTGCCCTTGTGAAGCTTTTGTTCTAGTAAGATGCGGTAAAATGCAAGTAAAAAAAATTAAAGTCACCCTTTCTGCCTCTAAATAATTGCATGAATGCAGAAATAAATTAATTCAAACAGTTATTAAAATAAGTTTCCTTTGCACATTCTCATTGGTTCTGTGCATTTCGCTTCACAGCATTTGCATTTGTCTTTGGCAAAATGAAAAGTGCATTATGAACTTTTGGGAAGTGTGGGTGGGGAGGGGTGCCTCTTGAAGATCTCCCATTTGAAACTTGAACCTGAGAATGACAAAAGTGGATCTGGCCTTCTGGAGACCCAAGAGCTCAAGGTGAACCACCAGATGGAGGCTGGTGCACGTAGGATGCTCAGGTCACCTGCATGTTGCCTCCAGGTCTTTGCTTAGGCTGACTCCTCTGCTGKAGACTCCCAGCTTGGCTTATTCTGACTTTTCCTTGTGTCTCAGCATCAAACAACCCTCCTGAATGCCATCTTCAAGAAGGCTGTCCTGCTTTGACTCTTTTCCTGAGCAGATATGCTAATTATTCATTCACCCCTAACCAGACTGTAGATTCCTACAAGGTAGAAACTGTCTTGCTCTSCTGTCTCCAGTGCTTGGCCCACCACCTAGCACACAATAGGTGCTGTCCCATCTTTGTGGAATCATTGAATGAATTAAGAGTCACAGATAAACTTTCCTCTTCCTTGGACAGAACTGACTCCCTTAGCACCAATTTTAGAGAAGCYATTAAAAATAGACAGTAGTATGATGAGGCTAAAAGGAAAGAGAATATAGCTTGGCAAGCTAGCAAGCCTCATTAGAATAATTAAAGGGACTATTAACCCAAACTAACCCAGACATAATTTGAAATGTGTTATGAACTAAGTACAATGGAACATTTATTTGATGGCTCAAACATTATTACGTTAGTAACCTCAATATGGTTCTACACCTCAATTTAAACTTTCTCACTTATGTGTGGGTGTTTCAAATCTCTAATTGGAATTCTGAAAGGAATGCCTCAGAAATGACTTCCTTTGAATGCAAATAGCTATACTGACCAAGGACTCTTTTAAATTGCATTTGAATTTCTCTAGGGCCTTGTCCTCTGACCAGAAGGAGAAGAAATTCTCCGTGTTGCAGGCCAATCACAAATGCTTGAAGATGCTCAGGGCATCCAAATGCATACTGGGAATATGGCTATTCAATATAGTTCTTCTCAGTATGCAACCTGTATTTTGCAAACCTTCAAAGCAAGGCTTTTTAATTGTTCTAAATCCTATTAGAATATCTGCCTGGAGCTCTTACAAGAGGAAAACAAATTAGTTGGCTATAAAATAAGATACTTTTCAGCCTTTATTTCCTATTTTTTCTCCCTTTCAGCATTCACTGTAAAATAGTGCCTGCTATGTGTAAAGCCCGGGGCTATCCATTTGTTCCTCTCCAGTCTCGAAGTACATGGTATGAAGACAGGAACCAGAGGAGACCACAGGTTTTCAGCAGAGAGAACAAGGGTGCAGTGGTGCAGGTGAGGTTGCTGAGCTAGGCAGGATGGAGGCTGGGCTTTATTCTGGCAATAGAAAGCAATTTAAGTGTTCAAAAGAAGAACAAGGATGTGAACTGATTTCTACTTAAGGATACAAGTGTTGCCACTGGGTGGAGAATGAATTACCACAGGCCAAGACTAGAGGTGGAGAAGCCAATTTGKAGGGAGAATGTCACAGGATTTCAGGAGACTAGATGGTGCCTGGACTGAGGAGCTGGCTGTGAAGATGGAGACATGGATGGCTACATTTTAAGAGGGTGTTGATGAGCCTTGTGGTAAATTTGATGGAGGGGAAAAAGAAAGAGAGGTTTTCAAGGATGAGGTCTAAGAAATTTTAAGGGTTAGCTTGTTTTCTAAGGAAACTGTGGTTCTTAGGCTGAAAAAGGGATACAATAATATAGAGGGAAAAAAAACCCACCATGGTTTGGAGGGGATGCTAACTTTCATGGTACACTGTGTCACTTAGGATGGTATTTATCCCAAACTGAGTGGAGCCTGGGCCTGAAATCAGCAGTTGGGAATATGGTTTAGTGTTCCCAGTGCTCTTTCTAATTGATCTAATTTGGCTCCAATTCCTCTTTGATTTCTAGTTGTTCTCCAGAACCTGCCTACAGGGTTGATGATAGTTGATCAATTAGTGATTGACAGGGAAGATTTCAGTTCAGGTACAAGGAGAAAATAATGTCGTGATTTTGGGGAGTGGCTGTGAGTGAATTGGAAGGGCAGGTGTTCCATAGTAGCTACTCCAACTTCAACCATATCTGATAGACTGTCAGTCTTCTTCAGGTAAGTATTTACCTTCTCTGGAGCCTACTGTGAAATTCTGAGAAGTCCCTACTATGCCTTAAGGCTGACATTCCTGATAGTCATAAATGCATGCATCATTGCATCTTCTCATCTTGAGAGGCCACGATTGACTGTGC